TTTTGGTAAAAAAAGGGTGAATGTCATCTGGACCTGGAGCCTTAAACGATTTGAATGAGAATAGGCATTTGTGATTTTAGAAATATTAAGAGGATTATCAATGCTACTTAGGTCAACTTTTTTATGGAAGGAGGCATCACCAAGGTTGACGTTATTAGGGGAAGAGATTTTTGATGTCCTAAAAGCATTTTCAAAGAAAGTTAGTGCATGGTCTAGAATTAAATTGGGATCCAATATCCTATCACCATTATCATTAGTAAAGTACATAATAGCATTACGACGCTTATGATTTGAGACCATGATATGAAAGAACTTGGTATTAGCCTCGCCCTCGTTAAGCCAGTTTATTCTAAATCGAAGTTTCCAGAAATCATGCTCCATAGTAAGAATGGAGTTATATCCATGTTGTAAATTGGATTCCAGATCTTGTAAGAAATAGCTCTTATGATAATTAGTAGAGGATTGGATGCCACTTAGCCTAGCTAGAATCCTTTTTTTTCTTTTTGAAAATGTCACCAAATGTCTCATTTTTCCAACTAACAACTTTATTTCTAAAAGAGTTCTGAGCAATGATAAGGTTATCACTAGTCCAACAGTGTTTAATTAGATTAATGAAGTCCGGATGCCTACACCAAATCATTTCCAGACGGAAGGGTTTATTAAGATGATTCACATTTTTTGGGCAAAGGGTTAGTAACAAGGGGTTATGGTCCTACTGTGTTTTAGGGAGGTGGATTATCATAGCTTTGGGGCATAAAGATAGCCAATCTTCGTTGACAAATATTCTGTCTAACCTTTCCAATATTAATCCTTTGGATTTTTTCCTTAGATTAGACCAAGTATACTTAGGACCTTTATAACCTAGGTCTAATAATCGACACTTATTAATACTATTCCAAATAGAGTTGCTATGTCTACGATTAATAAGATTACCCCCTAGTTTGTCATTAGAACTAAGCACATCATTAAAGTCTCCTCCTAACAACCAAGGTTCTTTTGTAATTAGCACTAATATTTACTATGTTTTTCCGTAAAACATTTCTTTTGTCTGCTTTAGTACTAGCATAAATGGAAGGAAACAACCAAGTGGAATGAGAAGGAATTACCTCAATCAATGCATGGATTTCTTGATTCCTCCTAACAAAGTTGTGCACCTTAACAAGACTAGCGTCCCAGAGAATAACCATACCTCTAGATTGGCCATCACTTGGTACCTCGATCATTTCAGAGAAGGCAAAGTCGCTTAGAAGAGAAATGTGGCTTTCCATTCTTGTTTCAAGTAGAGTAACCATGCACGACCTATGGGTGTCTATCATTTCTCTGAAGTTAACCCTAAAGTTTTCATTGTTTCCCCCACGGATGTTCCATATAATAATGTTTGTAGGTCTAAACATCATTGCATGGTTGTTGGTTGGACCATTGTCCATTTGAGCTTGTAGCACTGGGTTTCTCCTTAAGCTGGGGACTAGGATCATTGCATGATTCCCTACTGTGGGATCTTGGGGGAGCCTCACATCCATTGAGCACTTGTATATTGCTAGGGGAAACTGAGCACATATCTCTTCTCTAGGAGGTCCTTGAAGAGAAAGACTTTTACCTCGTTGAGGCTTGAAAATTCTAGGACTGGACTGGACCCTAGTAGGTTTATCTCCTCTTCCTCTTCCATTAGGACATTTTCTGGTTCTGGAGCATTGGGAGGGACTTGGACAGCTGGATCTAGGTTTGTTACTGGTGGGACAACCTGTGGTATTTAGAGTGGTACATTTGGTGGATTTTCTGGTCGGGCTGGGTTTGCATGGGGAGGATCTTGCATGTTGGGGTTGGGCTGGGCTTCGGGGTTGTTCAATGGTAGGGACCATGGCATGAAGATGCGATTCATGTTTGAGATTTCCCCCGGGGGAAAGAAGGGTAGTTCCAGTTAGGAAGAGTGATTTTGGATAGGGTTGAAGTGGGGTGGTAAGCTCCATTGGTGCCTCATGGCTTGGACTTGATCTAAGTTCGTCGATGGTGCAAGGGGATGAAGGATGTTGTTCATCCATACATGGTTGAGGTAATTGTTCATTGCCATGTGCATTCCTTCTAACACTAATTGGGCTAGAAAGTGAGAGTTTTGGAGAACATCACTGTCTCTTGGCCGTCTAGAATCATATTGAATGTTATAGCATGGCCCATTAGATCTTGTTCCACCCAAGAGAGTGGTTGATGATCTTGGAGTAGTGGGGGTTGGATGAATAAGACTTGGTTGTTTGTTTGAGGGTTTGGAGGAATTTGAGGGTTTGACATGTTTATGGCTCTTTGATGTCTCACTAATTGGACTAGTCGAAACTTTCTTCTTTGGGAGATTGGGATCCTTGACATCTTTGGAGGGAGTTTGGTCGTTTATATTATGAGTGAGTGGTGTATTTTTCTCCACTATTTTTTAGTTCACCAATGGAGTAGAGTTGGTTATTATAGTAGAGTCTATATGCATATCTTTGATATTGCTTAATGGAGTGGTATTTGTAAGATTTTGTTCAGATTTTGAAGGGAGGATGTGGTTGATTGGTTCAGCCATTTGTGTAAAATCTAGTGTTTGCATGGACACGTGTAAGCTTGTGTGAAGATAAGGGTTATTTGCCATGCAATTAGAATTATTAGTTTTAGAGGAGATTAGGGGTTCGTTTAGGAGGTGCCGTGTGATGGGGGGTTGTTCAAGACCCTGATGGGGTTATTTAGGTCTTTATTACCCTTAGATAGGAAATGATTATCATGCATGTCTTTTAATTGGCCCTTTTCTGTAGTTGCCATTGGGACATCCATTTTGTGGACTCCTTCCACATCATTAACCATGCAGCTATTATTATTATTAATAGATCTATTATTAATATTATTATAATNTTATTATTAATATTATTATAATTAAGATTATTCAACTTTGGCGGAGGAATCAATGCTTCAAACATATTGTCAGTGGCAATGTATTTTTTAGCGGATTGATTTTTTCCACTGATTTTAGGGTGTGTAGTAGGAATGGTATTGCCATTATCAATAGATTTTCTTGTTGAAGTCTCATATAATAAGAGAGATTGAGACATACCTGGAGGGAGTATGATTGGGTGTTGCGACTTACCAGAAGCGGAGGGCATCACCTTTAAATTTTGATTGTATTTCTTCTTCTTGGGGAATATAACCATTTGCCAATTATTTTCTTTTGTCTAAACAGTGGATCCTTCCATTTTATCTTGAGGATCACCCCAATTTACTGGATTGGTTGTTGGCTGGGGCTTCCCGGGTAGCTGTAGTGGAACACTTAGATAATATGTAGTGACAATTGACCATAGAGTGGCCTAGTCTGCCACATTTTTTGCATAAAACATTTGCACCTTCATAATGGATCTCTTGTTTATGTTGTCCAATGAAGACATAGGGGGTGACAGGCACATCAAGAGGGATTTCAATAAGCCTAGCATACTTTCCTCTAAGTGTGGATGAAGTACAAGCATCAATTTTTAGTAATCTACCGATTTTATTACTAACTTTTGTTAAAATGAGACCATCATAGAACTCAGTAGGTAATTGAGGAAGACGAATCCAAATAGTTGTGTTTGCAATTTTAGCTTCCGAAGCAATAAAATTTGAAAACTATTTTTGAACTGAAAGAAAGTTACCAAAAATAAACCAAGGGCCATTATGAAGAGCTTTCAGCATACTCTCCTCATTATTGAACTTAGTAATGTAGAATTCCGATCCTCGATCAATCAGAGGAAAATTCTCTTTAATTTTTCACAATTCTTGACTTTTCCTTTTTAGAATGTGGTGTTGAGTCGTTTTTCCTTGAAGCTTGATTATGGTAGAGAATCTCCATGGGTGATAGATTCTTTTAAGATCTCCCGAAGATAGTTGGATCCCTTGTCTTTGATCATCCGTAGGGTTATTTGCATGGGAAGTATTGACTTCACTATGAAACTCTTGGATTCCATCTGGAGTTGGATCAATGATCATATGGATTTGGTCTTCATCTATTCCGTCCAATAATTTTTGTTTAAAACATGTGTTAGGAAGTTCAGGTATTGTGGTAGATTGTGTTATATCAATATCCGGTGGTTTGGGAGGAATTTGATTATTTTGATTGAGAATTTTCATTGTGAACGTCTTGTGGTAGCTAGAGAGAAGTTGGAGCTTCTCTCACTTCTCGAAGATTTGAATTGATATCCTTTTCCTACAAGAAATAGACAGGCGACATGACATAAATTAGAGAAAGCATAAAAGGTATACTTAATAAAGAATCCTTTTCCCACCAAAATACTGTAATTAGTTTGCTTCGTCACTTATATTAAACCCTAACATTACCAACAGTCTTTCCAAATCAAAAGATATGAGAATGCCTAATAACTTTCCTCAAGATATCACCATCAATATACTAACAAAACTTGCAGTGAAATCGCTTTTACGGTTCAAATGTGTTTGTAAATTATGGCGTTCTCTAGTTGAAGATCCCAAATTCATCAAGCAGCACTATGATACGTGCAAAAGTAATTTAAATTGACACAAAATTTTTGTGACAGGTGGTGAATGTCACAACAAGGATGACTATTTGTACTCTACAGACAGCTCACTTCAACATGATTCCGTTGCCTCTCTTCTTGAGCCTCCAATTCCTGATATCAATCATTTTAGTAGTGTATGTTTTATTAATGGTATACTTGTTCTAATTTTCCGTTATGACGTAGTCATTTTGTGGAACCCGGCCATCAGAGAATCAAAAAAATCATCTTTCGAATCCTTGAAAATACGGTGAGGAAGCTATACTTCCCTGGTATAATATATGGTTTTGGCTGCGTTTCTTCTATAGACGATTATAAAATAATTAGAGTAGGAAAAGAAGTTTATTCAGGTAATTATGAGGTGCATGTATTTTCCACAAAAAGTAACTCGTGGAAATTGATGGGCAAGTTTCATCCATATAACGAGTTCTTTGATGGGGACATTGTTACGGTAGATGGATTGTTTATAATATAGCAATGACGGATTTGTGTAATACTAGTCCGAATAACTTTACTATAGTACATTTTTGTTTGGAGAAGGAAAAATTTCAGGAAATATTGTTTCCAGATCGGATTAAAAGTCGGGAAGATCCAGCTTTGTGTGCTCTAGGAGAAAACCTTTGTTTGACTAGGTTACACAATGACTCGAGACGCGATTTTGAAGTTTGGTATATGACGAATAATGGAACGAGCTATTCGTGGAGTAAGATGTTGACAGTTCCATCAGTGCATTGCGGACGTTGCTTGAGGCCTGTGAGCTTTATGAAGAATGGAGACATATTATTTTTGAGGTTTAAAGGTGGATTCGTGGTTTATAATTCAAAAAGACACAAATTGGAAGAAGTTAAAGTTGCAGGGCTTGAGGCACCACTTTACTTCAATTGGGTTGTACCATATTTTGAAACTTTGTTTTCTCCGAAATCCTAATTAATATTGCTCTATTAGGAGAGAACTTTGGAAATTTACTTTCTGTTTCTTTAATTGATTCTACTTAACTAGTTTTTCTTTTCATCTTGGTTCGTTCTTTTCTTTTCTTTCCTTTTTTTTTTTTTTTTTGAACGTGCTCTAAAATCAACTTTACGTGGCTTTTTATCCACTTAATTCCTTCATCGTAGTAAAAATTTATTCTAGATGATGATTTGAATTCATGTCAGTATTTTTGTCGTTTTTATAATTGGTAGAAATAAGCCAATCATAAGTGAACTTGTCAATAGATTTGATGGAGAAACTCATTCGTCTTCAACAGAATCAAATAAAGGAAAGGTTAAAAAGAAGAACAAAAAGTATAGTTGGAATAGAAATTTACTCCCATGCCCAGGCAATTCAATATGTGCCTAACACGCCTATTTGGAGTACAACAACAACTCAGTAATAATCTTACTAATGGGATCTGAGAAGGGTAGAGTGTACGCAGACCTTACCCCTACCCATGAGGATAGAGAGACTGTTTCCGAGAGACCCTCGGCTCAAAAACAAAAGATCTGTAACAACAGCAGAAAACATACAAATAAGATCAGCACCGTAATTGACAACAAATAAGTGGAAAGGACAATAATTATGGCAATAAAAAAAATTGAACAAAAATATAAAATAAAAGTAAAAAAATTAATAATAATAATGATAAACAAAAAATAGAAAGTGTGATGGAACAATAACCGCTAGCAGTCCTATATAAAACACTATCAGACTAGCCAGAACAACGAAGAAAAACGCTCAACTACCCCCTAACCTACAACCCTAATGCTCGACCTCCACACCTCCCTATTCAGGGCCATGTCCTCAGAAATCTGAAGTTGCGGCATGTCTTGCCTTATCACCTCGCCCCAATATTTCTTAGGCCGCCCTCTACCTCTCCTTGTACCTGTCAAAGCCAACCGTTCACACCTCCTAAACCAGGGCATATGGGCTCCTCCTCCGCACATGCCCGAACCATCTAAGTCTCGCTTCCCGCATCTTGTGCTCTATGGGAGCCACACCCACCTTCTCCCGAATATCTTCATTCCTAATCTTATCCAGCATAGTGTGCCCGCACATCCATCTCAACATCCTCATTTCGGCTACTTTCATCTTCTGGATATTAGAATNTTGGGCCTCTTCCATCAATACCCGACCTTTCTCGTCTTTGATGCACCTCACTTGATCCAGATCACGAGCCTTCCTCTCTCTCGCTTTAGCCAGCCGAAATAACTTCTTGTCCCCACCTTTAACCCCTAGTTCCTCATATAACTGCCCAAACGCAACAGTCTTAGCCTCTGTGACTGCTAGTTTCGCTTCCCTCCTAACTTCCTTATATCTTTATCTGTTCTCTCTCCTCTGATCCTCGTCAGTGCTCTCCAATAACTTAAGGTAAGCCGCTTTCTTTGCTTTCACTTTACTCTGGACCACGTCCTTCCACCACCAGTCGCCTTGGTGCCCGCCTGAGGACCCCTTCGAGATCCCTAACACCTCTCTCGCTGCCTCCCTTATACAGTCTGTTGTCGCCGTCCACATAACGCTAGCATCCCTACCACTCTTTCAGGCTACCCTATCTGCCAACCTTCCCTCCAACTCCTGCGCATTTTCCTTAGTTAAGACTCTCACCTGATCCTCGATTGCCCCCGTACAAACCTCTTCTTCCTCTTTATCAAGATACCGACGTCTATCACCATGAGCCTATGCTGTGTCGTGAGGTTCTCATTAGGGATCACCTTACAATCCTCGCACAAACTCTTATCACACCTCCTGAGGAGAAGATAATCAATTTGAGTCTTAGCCATCCTACTCCGGAAAGTAATCAAATGCTCCTCCTTCTTCGGATAAATAGAGTTCACGATCACTAACTCAAAAGTTCTAGTGAAATCCAACAGTGACGTACCTCCTTCGTTCCTAACCCCAAAGCCAAAGCCACCGTGCACCTCACGCCTATTAGGAGTACTAGCAACTTTAATATTTTACTAAATAAGGGGATAAAATAGATTTTATGTTGTTAAATTGCGCTAACTTCTTTCTAGATTAATATTCATTGTGAGAGATCGATCGAATTTGCAGAATCTAGTGGTTAACAACTTTACCATTAGTAACTTTGTTAGTTTGATATTCAATGGAAACAAATCATATCAATATAATAAATAAAGTATCTGATAATTAAATTGTAGTGTAATAAACAATGAATGTGGCTCAATGCATAGTGATAAGTTGGTTTGTAGACCTGTATACTGGTAAAACCGGAGGTAAGAAGTGCCCCGATTTATCGGTGAGGCAAATGAAGAGAGGACATAACTGCGCGTAGTCAAGACCAAAGCCGAGAGCTGCCCGTATCAAAGCTCGAGCAAAACACCTACTCCCGGAGCCATCGAGATCATGCCCCGGGAGCCACCAAGGTCATGCCTTCGGAGCCATCAAGATCACTCCCCCGGACTTGATTCGAATAACATGGCCTTGGAAAACCTGCCAAACGACCGCACACGATCAACAAGGGACCGTGATATCCATGCCCAACCGGATATCACGACGTGAACCTCGGCCCGTATCAACGGTAAATCAGTGATTAGCAAGAAGAAATATTTTTTTTACCTTTTTAGAATTGTAAGATTTTTACTTTTTTTAGAATTGTACTTAGGGTAAAATTCCCCTAATATATAAAGAGGAAGTTGACTATTCATTAGGGATATTGTAACATGCATACCAAGGCAATATACATTTATTTTTCTCTGGTTGTTCAAAGTTCTTGTTCTTATTCATAGGTCTTCATAGACATCTGGCATCGAACCGAGGGCAGAACAATCACTTAGCTCGTACCCGAGCTCGAACTTAACATTACAACTGGTTTGATAATTTGTTTCTTCCTTAATTCGTTTATCTAATGTTATTGATCATTTGTATTGGATTAATTCACATATCATTTTTCAATTGTTATCCACTTTTAAGGGTAAACAGTTTGGCGTCCACCGTGGGGCTAAGGATAATAGTGATAGTTTGATACAAATTTCCATAACACACTATATTTTACGCTTGTTCTTTGAGATTTTAATTGCAGATCTACCTAAGGATGTCCAACTCTCAGAGTCTCAGTCTCCTCACTTCAACGTTGATATTGAGTCTGGTCATCATGGTGAAAACAATAATATAGCACCTAGCAATGATATGCCTCTTGCCGATCCAAATGGAGACCCGATTGTAGACCCAATCGATGTCAACTTGCATGTGGCCATCGACGCCAACCTGCCAACCGACCTTGAGAACAGCATTTGCGGGGGAGCCCGACCAATGACTTGGGCTACGCCCGAAGATGAAGGTGACGGAAATTATCTACGGGTGAACTTTGAAATGTTACAAGCCCAACAAGCGGCGTTAGCACAGGTACAGAATCAAAGTTGTGCCCCCAGCAAAATTGAGCTCGAACAATCCCGGGAAAACACCTGAAGGAATGAGCAAGTCACGGAGAGGTCAGGTGAAGCTGGGCCCGGAAACAACCCCGAAATAATTAAGATGCTTAAGGAACTGACAAGCTGGTGGAATCGGGAAAAATGAAAATTGAGGCCAATGACAAAAAGGTGGAGATTTATAACTCCAGAATTAATCAAATCCCAGGAGCGCCCCAATATTGAAAGGGCTAGACTCTAAGAAATTTGTTCAAAAGTCTTTCCCCCTGGGCATAGCACCGAAACCAATCCCGAAAAAGTTCTGTATGCCAAAATTCCAAAGTATAATAGAACCACGGATCCAACCTAACACGTCACCTCCTACACATGTTCCATCAAAGGGAACGACTTAGAAGATGACGAAACCGAGTCGGTTTTGGTGAAAAGATTTAGAGAAACCCTGTCAAAAGGATAAATGATATAGTATCACAACTTACCCCCTAATTCTATTGATTCGTTTGCTATGCTTGAAAATGCCTTCGTTAAGGTACACGCCAGGGCCAACAAGGTCGAGACCAGGAAATCAGACCTTTTCAAGGTAAAACAAAGAGATAACGAGATGCTCAGGGAATTCGTGTCGAGCTTTCAAATGGAATGAATGGATCCGCCTCTGATCGTAGACGATTGGGTCGTTCACCCAAGAGCTCAACTCCTGAAGCTCCTTGGCTTCATAGTAGTTGAAACAAAATCTGATAGAATACCCGGCGGTAACTTGGGTGGATGTCCATAATAGATAACAATCAAAAATCAGGGTCGATGACGATCAGCTCGGAGCCCCCTCCCGGTCCGTTTATCCCGTCAAAACTTATGACAAGTCTAAGAGAGTTATCGATCATGAGCCAAGACCAAATAGAGACTGGTATCAACCATACAACGTGGACCGAAGGGGTAACGGATCCGGGTGTAACCTTACAAGAAATGAGAAAAGGAACGATTGAAACCACAATAGTCGGGGTCTCATGAGCAAAAACTGTTTCGACAGGCCACTTGGGGCCAAGGAGGCACCGAGGTTATCAGAATACAACTTCAGTGTCGATGTTGCAAGCATCGTATCTGCCATCGGGCACACCAAAGATATAAAATGGCTTCGACCATTGCAGTTCGACCCTACCCAGAGAGATCCTAACTTGATGTGTAAATACCATGGCACTCACGGCCATAGAACCAAGTTCTGCCATCAGTTGAGAGAAGAAGTGGCCCGGTTATTCAATAACGGGCATCTCCAGGAGTTTCTGAGTGATTGAGCAAAAAATCACTTCAAGAATAGGGACTCCAATAAACAGACTAAACAAGAGGAACCTCAGCACGTCATCAACATGATGATTGGTGAAGTCGATGTCCCTAGGGGCCAATGTTAAAGTGCACCAAAGTGTCCATTACGAGAGAAAAACGGACCCGAGACTATATCCCAGAGGGGACCATTTCATTCAACAACGAGGATTCAGAAGGCATCGTGCAACCACACAATGATACTAGTAATATCTGTACCTGTAAATAAATCTCGAGTTAAATGTGTATTGATTGACC